TCTTAACAACTGCCAGAGTCTTTTCTCACCCTCCATCCATCCATGCCTTCAAAGCCAGGACACTCCTGTATTATCTATATGACGGCGTTAACTTAGATATTCTTAAATATTTAAAATTGTTCAAAATATACATTAAACAGCTGTAAACCTGGTTTCCTGTTCACCCACAGTACCTGTCTGTGAATGCATGTGTCCCTCTGTCTGTCTGCTCACCTGTCTGTCCTCCTGTCTGCCTGCTTCAGCTCAAGATCTATACACTGTCCTATAGCCCCATCTAGTGGTTAAACTCTTACATGACAACATTGTATCTCTACGCGAGCAGATTCTTATCAGCAAAAATGAGGGAAAAAGAGAGAATGTCAATGTCACCGTGTCTCCAAGATTCTTGCAAAACTGATTTCACTGATAATAACCAACAATATCTAATATAAGGTATTTTTGACTATTGCTGTCAATATTTCTACATAATCAGTTTGAATATACAATACAGATTTGGTCTTTCTAGGAAAAGAATCTGATTTCAACCTAATTATTCCAGTGGCATTGATTTTCCTACCTTCTTCTGCAGCACATTAACTTTGCGTTCTTTGACGTCCAGCATGTCCTTGAGGTCGGTGATCTCTCCTTGCTGAGTGCTCTTCTCGTCTGTCAGCTCTGATATCTGCTGACTCTTTTTAGACAGAAATGATTCCTTTTCTTCCTGGCGCAGACGCAAGGCATCCACCTGTGTGCACAAACACAGTCAGTGAAAAAAAAGTCAATGGTGCCATCACATGTAGTATTGCAACAAGGTTAAAGTGTCATAATTGACCTCAGTCTGCAGTATGGCGGCTCTCTGTTCTTTGGCAGTGAGTGACTCTTTGAGAACATCCACGTGCTGCTTGCTGTCAGAAAACTGGTTGTTCAGTGTCTCCAGTTTGGTCCTAAGACCCAGCAGCTCACTGTCCTTACGACTCAGCTCCTGCTTCGCCTGCTCCATCTGAGAAACACGCACATGAAGACAGAGGTGTGGGATAGAAAGAAGTTTGTATTAGAGAGGATTACTTGCTTATATATATTAAAATGTATTAAAATCTGCTACAAGCTTCACCAGGTGAGAAGTGAGCACTCATGCTATTTGGTGTTAAGGTTTTAGATATTGGTCATAACTCCATTGTAGGCTGTAAAAGAAGAATAAGCAGTGCACAGAACTGACTGGAGCTTCAATGTCTTTCAGGGTCAAGAACATATTTACAGCAAGAGCCTGTCCATATAGAATTAATAAAAAAGGAAAGTCAGGAGTGTAACACTGGTGTTCTGTGCAGTATACAGTGTGTGAGTGGCGTTCTTCATAGACCACTTTGTCCGATTACACATAAAAAGCTGCGAGTTTGGTAAAACATAATCTTGACACTTCTAGGACTTCAAAAAAAAAAATAGCCTTGTTTTTGGAACAGTTAGACACGCATGGAAGTCAGGCCATTTTAAATTCCTTCTCTGTATTTGTAGCAGTGGTTTAGGGTCATTTCTTACAGTGAGCCTGAGATTATTAAGAAAAACAACACATGACTACTGTTTAAAGTTCATAGGTGATAAACCTAAGTTCCTTTGGCATTTCATTAGGTGACTGGGAGTGACATTTGTGAATGAATTCAACTTGACATTAGAAAAAAAAAGAATGGACCCAAACCCAACAGAAAAGTTGATCCTATAAAAACCTTGAGCCCCTCAGAAAAGTGATCCCAGCCATGAGCTGAGAGAGGAAACACATGCGAGAAGAAAAGAGGCAGGTTAGAGATACGCACACTGTCGCACAGCTGGACTCTAAGCTTCAGGTCTGTAATTGTGCGTCTCAGACGGCTAGAAACAACTATTACTGTCAAAAGCCATTGGTCACCAAACGGAATAGGAAGATCGCTCTAGTAACTTATATGAAGCGGTAAATTAAATAAATGCTCGCAGCCCTGGTTTAACAGCTGCTTGGTCACAATAGACCTTTTTCACGAAGAGTAGAAAATCAAAGGTGGAAATTATAAAATCACACTGATGTCAGAACGAATTCACCTACAGGAGCAAAATTTGGAACATTTGATTGACAGTACCGCCTCCAAAATAATGTAATTATAGCTTGGGATCATTTCCCATGATGCTCTCAAAATCTGAGAGCTGTTTAGTATGAATGACATTTGAGAGTTATAGTTGCTGTCGTCTGAACACTCAGAGCACACACTACTGGCATTCTACTGGGAATCTACTCAAGCAGCAGCCATTAGGCAGACAACCTGGAAGAAAGAAAGAAAGAAAGAAAGAAAGAAAGAACTAGCGAACAGACACAGAGGTGTGTCTCTTACTGCAGACACCTCCCGTTGAAGCTCATTGGCTTGTTGTTTTAGCTCCTCCTTCTCTGATTGGCTGTGAATGAGTTCCTCCTTCAGCTGCTCAACCTGACAGGAGAGGAGGGCGTCACCATGACTACAACAAATCAGGTGCCACAGTCGCTGACCATTGACCACAAACCAATTCAACATCATATTCAAGCACCTCACATGCAGAGAATCCAGGGAAACCACCTGCTGTACATCCTACCCTGCATCCCACGACTGCAAATAAATAAATAATGCAGTCTGTGAGAATACTGCTTCTCACACAGAGTACTGCATTTCCTGGTTTTCTCTAAATTGAGGATTTTAATATTGTGACAATGAGAATATAGAGGAGCTGCTCCTTACACGTGAACTAGTTGTATTATTTCATTAGTTTCTCTTCACTATTAAATCATAAGACGGCAAACACGCTTATCATGTATTTCTAAACCAAAGAGGTAAAGCTGTCATCTAAAAATGTCTAGGAGAGAAAAGATAAGGAAGCGGTGTACATTTCTTTGCTACTGACGTGAGATACAAAAACAGGCAGAAACTAAAACACTACACTTCATCTCAAACAGCTGATGGAGAAAGAAAATCTACTGAATTTCCAAACATACTTGACTCCCCACATGACAGAAGTGCTGGCTTGTTATAATGAGCACGGCTCCCATAGAAACACTTGACACTAAAGCTGTTTCCGTCAATAGTAAAGGAAAGAAGAGGAGTTATTTTTCCAGCAAGTCAGAGATTCCAACAATCTATTACAACACAGAGAAAAAATAAGACAAGCAGATATGTGTGCAGTGCATGTCTAAGTGTCACTGTGTCTGTCTGTGTGTCTGTCTGTCTGTCTGTGTGTGTGTGTATGTGTGTGTCCATCACCTTGTTCTTCATGAACTTGGAGTGGGATCTGTAGACCTCCATCTGTTTGATCTCCTCCTCCCTTTCCTCGCTGCTCAGAGCTCCGTTGGACTTGAGCATGTTCACCTCCTCCTCCAGCTCCCTCAAGCCACGCTCCATCGAGCTGATCTTTGCATCCTGCCAGGACATCCACACGTTGACTTGTGTTCTATGTGCTTGTTATTTCATTGCATTTTCAACTTATTTTTGCACCATTTGAAAGAATTTAAATATTTTTTAAAAGTTATAGCTTCTATTCATTATTGCTGATACTGATATAAAGCAGAGACACATTCAAATGAATTAATGATCATCCAATATTTACCTTCATTTCGATGACTGTCTGCAGGGCCTTGGTCTTCGTCGACTCTGGAGCTGCTTCATATCTCCTGTGCAGCTCCTGAGGGACACACACACCGCGATGGTCAGGAGATGACGGAGAGAGAGACACAGAGGGATGGAGAGACGGATGGAAAGAGGGGTGAAGTAAGGGGGAAGAGGGTCTTGTACCAGGACAGGAGGCGATAGCACCAGGTGGGAAGGGATGAAGGGAGGGCTGGATGGCGGGGGTGGGCCGTGGAGCAGGAGCAGGGAAGGAGTGCTGGAAGGAAGGATGGACAGAGGAGGCAACGACAAAAGAGGGATAGTGGGGAGAGCAGGAGGAGGGCAGGACAATGGGATGGATGGGGTGCCGATGGGAAGGAGAGGAAGGTGCCGGGAAGGAGGGAGAGGAGCGGAGTGGGTGATGACGCAAAGGGGAAAAAGGAGGAGAGGGTTGGAAGGGGGGTGACACGTGGAAAGGAGGTGGAATTGGGATGGAGGGAGAAATGGGAAAAGAGGGTGAGAGCGGGATGGACGGAGAGGCGGGAATGAGATGTTTCCCTCTCGCGGAGGCGCTGGCTTTTAGCCTCCTCGGGTCGATGCGTCCATCCCACATCCTTCAAACTGTGAGGCCACCAAAGAAGCTGACAGAGACTGTGTCAGCCAAAAATCTGAATGAAAGATCAAATCTGACGGCCTGAAATGATGCTAAATCAAAAAATCAGGTCCCAGCTTCAAAGCTTTTAGGTTCAAATAAATTCTAAAATGCAGTAGAAGCTAAAAAATACAAACTGAATCGAAAGAATAATAATTCAAAATAGAAAATGTAGCGATATAGATTTAAAAAGTACACAATTAAAAACCCCAAAGGAAAATTTATACTAAGATAATTTAGTGAGCTACACGCAGGGATAATCTGTCCGCCTGGCTGTTGTTACGACATCACAACTCACTAGTCAAATGAAGAGAGAGTAAAGAAGGGGGAGTGTAGTGGATGTAATGACACAAAAAGGGAAAAAGGGGACAGGGAGAACGAGTGCGAGAGAGAGAGAGGGAATGAAAGCAGAGGGGAGGACGCAGCAGTGTATGCATCACTGCTTTTCTTTGGAGGAAACTCAGCGAGAGGCTGACAAAGCTAATGCAGGAGCCGGGAAGCATAGAAACACACGTGAAAGGGACGTCAGGGTGCTAGTGGTTTCAGGCAATAGTATGAAAACTCATGAACACACACACACACAATTATTTGAAGATCATTTCCTCTAAAGTGTCTGAGGCAAAATCATAAAACAGTGAGGAAGCACAAAAAAGTCTGGTTCTTTTTTTTTGTAATTAACAATGTCTCTGTCAAAATAAAAGACACTCTGATGCAATGTGAAGCAACAAACTATGATGATGCATCACTTGTGTTTGGGTGAACCTCGGATGAAGTTATGAACTGAAAGAGTTGTCAATCTCGGGGGTTCTTCGGACAGTTTTGGCTATCACACATACACATACAGTATTATGTTATTCTGTACTGACCTTTTTCAATTTACTTGTTATTTCATTCCATTTTCAGTTTATTTTTGTACTGTTTGAAATAATTGAAACATTGTTAAAATGTTTACCACATCATCAAAAATTATAATTAGCTTAGAAAAGATGTATGAAAGTGCAAAGAAGACTTTTTATATGCTGTAATGATGAGGGTCCATTTCTGATCATGTGTTTTGTAATAACGACATCTCACCACTAGAGGAAGCTATTGTATAATACAACAGACATGAGGAACAGAATAAAAAAAGCTGAGAGAAGTAACAGAGTTGTGATTGTGTGTGTGTGTTTGTGTGTGTGTCGATGTCTCTGTTGTGTATTAAAGCTAAATTATGAGCCACGAGTGGAAACAGCCAAGGGCCCTGCCTGAATATGACGGTCTGATTTGTACACACACACATCTGGCTGTACAAACACACACGCACGCACGCATGCACGGGGAAACCTTAAATGCACTTTGTTTCCTCTTCACACACACACACACCTCTCTGAGTTGCAGCATCTCCTTGTCTTTTCGCTCCAGCAGGCCCTCCAGCTGGTGGATGGTCATCTCAGCATCTGCCAGTCGCCTCGTACGCTCGTGGTCCTCCTCTGTTGCCCGTGACGACAGGCCTTTACTCTGCAGCATTTCCAGTAACTTCTTTATTGACTCATCCCTGTTAGACAAGAAAATTATGGATTTCAACATAATGGAGAACTAAAATGGGACAACATCACAAGAGATCCAAACCTCCCCCGTCTCTGTCCTCAGTCTTTACCTGGCAGTCAGTGTGTGTTTCTGCGTGTCTATCCTCAGCTCCATTTCTTCCACCGTCTTCCTGAGGAGGAAGAGCTCTTTGACCTGCCGCTCGTATTCGCTGTGGAGACGCAGGAAGTTCTCCTCCGTCATTTCCTGAGGGGAGATGGCATGGTTTCCGAGGTGCCCAGAGTCAGAGTAATCTGACTGGAAGAGGTGGTTGAGATCGCGTTGGATTCGGACCTCATCTTGTAAAGCCTGGATGGTGCACTGAAGATGCTGGAGGGAGAGAAAAAGAATACCTGTTATGAAATGTAGAAGTGTGTGGATGTGGTGGGGATGCTGCTGAGAGAGATGAGTAGAGTGTGAAGAAAGAACAGAAAGATCAGGTAATATGATGCTCGGATAGATTGTACTGTGAGGGTAACAGGTAACAGGGCCTTTGCTGTCAAGGCCCCAAGTCACTGGAATAGTTTAGCCGAGGAACTTATTATATCTGCTGTCTTCTAGTATTTGTGAAAGTTGTTGTCATTACAACACTAGGATGAGTGGATGGATAAATGGATGAAAAACACTTCAAAGAGTCCACGTAAAATCAATCAAAATCTAAATTGAGGTTGACGAATTCAATTGATTGATTTTTGATCGGAAATCTGAGTGAGAAGGTGACCTGCTGCCAGAAACATCCAACAGTATGTTCATGTCATCTTGACTGAGTGAGTGTGTCATAGAAGTGTGTTGGCAGGTTTGTATCAAGATGACACAAGGACAAGATGACATGACTTTGCCTGAGTCACACAAAATAAGGGTCTATAATGTGTGTGTGTGTGTGTGTGTGTGTGTGTGTTTGTGTCCACAACGTCACTATAATGCCCCGAGGCTTTTTTTCAAACTGCGTCACAAATAACCTGAGCAACACACAAGTCATGGTGAATTTCCAGAGATTACAAAAAACATACAGCTGAGAGAGAGGTGCACTAATAAAAGCATAAGTAAATGGAGGATTAAAAAAATAATAGGAGGTTATAAAAGGCAGGGATGGTCGTACTCCCTCGCAGCTATCGTTTAATCAACATCGACAAGAGAAAGGACAGGATTAAAGGAGAGCTGGGAGGCAAAGAGAAACAATTCTTCGATATTAAAGAAAAGAACTAAGAGAAAGAGACAGAGCAGCAGATAATGATCATAAATACAGTATGTACTTGTACAAACAGACACAACTGTGTTAGCTCTGGTTTGTGTTGCATGACAGCCAGGGCAGAGTGTGCTTTGTCTTTTACTTCCTGAGACTGACACAGACGTACATAATATTGCAGTGATGAACTATTATTTTGTGACTTGACACTGACATTTCTAGGATTTCCCTGAAGACACAGACAGAGAGCATCCTTTAAATATTCCCTTTGTGGTCTGTCCATCTGTCTCCATGCCAACTATAACTCCTCCCTTAGACATGCACTCGCTGATCCGCCCATATGATGGATACATGCAAGAATGTGCACACAATCTCAAAAGTTTGGATGTGCTCAAATGTTTCATACTTTATTGAAGGAAGAACCAAAATATTTATGGGTTCTGGTATTTTGCAGATTTTCTGTCATTATAAACTAAATTTTGGGATTTCTTTTTGAATGTTAAGACAAAATAAGCAGTTACGAGTGTCGTGCTTGAGAACCTTGGAACTTGTACGTAGGTAATTTCTGCATAATAAACATTCTCAAGTGTCTAAGGTGTGTCTCTCAACTCCGACTGCTATTAAAATCTTTGTAAAATCTTGTAATTTCCTGCTGCCTCCTTCAATTTATTTTATGTTCATGTTTTCTTGTATCTCTGGATTTGTTATTGTATGTTATTTAATTCAATCTTTTTAACGTAGAAAGGTCTGGATACCTTTTCCTATCTACTTTGATAGTATAACCACCAGTGTATCAACTGTGGGATGATTTTAATTTATTCATTTTAAAATGTATTTAATGTATTTTTTAATTTATGTTTCTGTTTGGTTTCAATTCTTTATTCAGATCTAGAGGATGTGGGAGTGTGGGGTGGTAAGGCAGGGAGCGGGGGGTGATATGTCAAATTATTCAATGTGTGATTTGTACATGTTTAAACTGGAAATTTCAATGAACAAAGATAAAATAAAAAGACTGTTATGCCATAACTATTGATCAATTAATAGCAAGAAAAACTAGTTATAGCCATTAATATGAATATGAAAACAGAAAAACGCAGCTGTATGCTGAGTGATATTAGTCAGGGAGAGAAACACACATGAACACACACATCTGTACTTATTACAGTAATATGTAAATTCCATGCGCTATCTAGGCATTAAATAAATGCATGTGCACGTCTACATAGATCATTATCTGCTGTAATCAGTCAGGCAAACACACAGTCTCACTATAACATCAAGCATCAAGCATCTAAAAGTATGTCAGAGACACACACACACACACACACACACACACACAATCATATGCCAGTAACTCAGCCAACCCACACTCACACACAGCTGGAATGTGGAGCTGAGAAATTCCAGGCCAGATGATAAAGAAGGACTGAAACATAGAAGGAAGCGAGCAGAAAGAAACACAAACAGAGAGGGAGATAACGAGGATGGAATGAGAAAAGAGAGAAAACAGAGTGTTAATTGTGTCCGGCAGAAATAGAGGAAGAGATGAAAAGAGGGAGACAGAGACGGAAACAGAGCAAGAAAACGAGGTGTGTTTTTCATCTCAGTTTCTGCTGAGTTGTCTCTGGTTCCTTCACCTCTGATCCTGTCAAACGCTTCCTGATACCACAGAAATTCCATTGAGGGGCTCAGTCACACACATCCACAAATATGCACACTGCACACACTCAAATGTTGATATTACAGTTCAACTACAAACACACATGCAGAAATTGAAATGTTCTCCATGTGAGGAATAAGCACATTATTAGCTCCAGTTTGATTTCTGACTGGTTCTCAAGGCATCTTCTGTTTTGAGTTTATTTCCCCATTCAAATGATAAAACAGCAAGAAAGAGAAATACATTCAAACTGTGTTCAAATGGGACAAGGAGACGAATCAAGAGGACAGATGTTTCCTTCAAGGGAAGGACAGATAAATTCATCAAGCTGGTAGAAAGTAAACAAGTGCAAGATGGGAAATAATCTCCATCCCAGTGATGATTAACAAATCAAAAGTTGTGAATATGACTGATTGCTCCACATATTTTCTAACATAGAGAAGGTTGAAGTCCCCTAAAAATCAATCAAGCTGTCCCCAAAGGAGTCCCCATCAATATGCCTGATGTTTTTCCATCAAGATCCATGAATTATTCCCTGGGAAATTGGTGAAAACTTCAAAAAATGCCTTGTAATGTAACTTCTGGGTACAACCCAAAATGTGACGAGTTCTTTCTTGGTCTGTGTCCAATCCCTCCAGCAAGGTGTGTGGAAATCTATTCATGTATAATCCTGCTGACAAACAAACCAACCAACCAACAAGCAAAATCCAAGCCTCCTCCTCCTTTGACACATTCTAATGTCCTTCACAACAAGTTAAAAAGCCTTTAAAATGAAATAAAACTAAAGACATGAGACTGAGGTTGTACAAAAATACAACCTTCATGTGAATCTATTGGTATTTTTGTTGGGCTCCGGTCTCATCATATGACGACTGTATCAGCTGTACCACATTCAGCTTTTCCACTCATTGAACTTGCTTCATTACCACATAATTGGTGGAAGAACCTGACATGGGTGGAAAAATATCCAGACAAAAATCTCAAAATGTCTCACTATCAAGCCACAACCACACAGGCCTGTACTCTGTGTCTCTTTGTGAGGCCTCGTCATATAGTTTGAGTCTGTAGGCTGGCCAGGAGTTTAAAGCCTGAAACAGGATTTAACATGAAAGAAGTCTAAAGCCTATAATCAGTAATTAGTTGTTTTTTTAAAACATATTCATCTTGAAACCCTGATTTGAAACCACAGAGTTAAGCAAAGACGAGATTTAAATTGATTGTATTTCATCAGGTCAATCAAGTGTCAGGATGACCTCACATAGCTTTTTACACCATGAGACACTAATTCACTCCAGAAGTGTTAAAATTAGCTTCTGTCAAACTTAATGGCTTCATTACAGTGACATGACATCTGCCTAAAATCATGAATTAATTACAAAATGTATCTTGTAATGAGAAACACATTAAACTAATGATCACTTGTGGAAGGAATTATTATCCGACATAATCTGTTTTCAGAGGAGGGTAAGGAGAGGAAGAGGAGAGGAAGAGGAAGAGAACAGAAGAGAAGCGTGAATACGACGACAAATTTTCCATCCGCTCGTCACCCCCCCCCCACCAGGTCACTGCTCATCTGTCGTTCAATATTAACCATCTCTCCGTTATTACTCCTCCATCTCATCCCTCGCTTATTCTGTGCTCGCCGGGTGAGTCACGCTTCCCCCCTTCGCAAACAGACACACACTGTGACATAAGCACATGTACACACAATTGGATGTAGGAAAACACACACACAATGAACGCAAAGTTATGCACGTATGCAACAGACAATATGAAGGTTGTTGCAGTGTCTTTGCAATGTTTAGTGTGTGTGTGTGTGTGTGTGTGTGTGTGTGTGTGTGTGTGTGTGTGT